AGGAGGGGGTCCTGTTGAGTCTTTACCTCAAACCTGGATTACCTTGCGCCAGCGATTCGAACACCCTCAGGTTGACAATACGTCGACGATGGAAGCAATCGTCTGCATGCTGCGCAGCAATTTCTTAGAGTCCTTTTAAAATCCCATCTGGCATTTCTTAATGACTATGAAGGAGCCAGATCACGGACTGCAAGCCCTAGATCCCAGATGCCGGAGTCCTTATCGATCTTCTACTCCCAATCCTGAGGCTCCAATCCTTCAACTTCAACCCTGACGACTGAGTTCAAAATTCAAGACTTTGTTTCCTAAACTCCAATCAGACAGTTCAGTGTGTAGGTGGGACGCGAAGCCTGCGAGGAGCATCATTTCCAGGCCTGTCGGCTTATGCAAAATGGAATTCCCGCAAGTTACTCGCTGTGAAATCACTGTAGTTTTACATTCAGCCCACCTAGTAGAAGGATGATAGATGAATTGTGGCATGCTGTGCACCTAGAACCACTGCACGACCCGCCCCACCAAGGCAGAAAGGTCTACATTATGAGCAGGCCATTTCCTAAGGACCTTCCCAGTCACGACTATCGATTGCACTGCGTTTTTCATTGTAGCAGCCTGCATCGATGGCAGGGACTGCAGCTGCGGCATTTGGTCAAGTCCTCCGACGTCCAGGCCTGCTCTCTAGAGTCTGTCTGGTTTAGGGGTTGCAGTGTGCAGCCCAATGCAGTTTCTCAAATTTATGGCCGCTTCTCAAAGGAGGCCCAAAGGGGCTGACCGTTCACTACTGAGGTCTTGAAGTTTGAGCGAGAGCTGGAGGAGGGGCGAGTGACGGAGTGCGAGTTACAGGCCCTGTGCCGGATGCCCAGCGAGCGGTTAATGAATTTTGGTTCGCGGTTGAGCAGGTTGGGGGAGTCATGAAGATTGGCTCAAGGTCCTGGATGAAATCGACAGGAATAACAATACCCTGCTGAGGTAAGGTTGCATTCATCATGTCATGATTGGTGTAATCTTTGACGAGGTAGCGCCCCTTTTGTGGCTGGGAGTTGGTTGTTTGTGCTTTGCATGTTTGTGGGTTAAGAAATTTAGGCTTGGAGACGGGGTTTGTGTGAGATTTTATTTTTGATTGCTCTGGGCTGGAGAAGACTGTCCAAATCAAGTTGTTGTGGTACAGCCAAGCCAGCAAGTTGCAAGACCTCAGCGTGCGACAGATCCAGACTCCACTCCACAAGCTCTACATGATGGCAACGCTGGTCATTTCCAGACGGGATAGCCTGGAAATCATGTGTCGGGCCTTTCCTCATTCCAAGACTATATCTTAAATCCCGAATTTCTCACCCCAGCACTGGTCCGGACAACTTCTGCCCTGTCGCTCTGAGAGCTGCAGGTACAGGCTCCCCGCACTTCGTCAACCATTTGGTGAAGGCAGTTTCTAGTTCAGGGCCTTTTGCTTGAGCCATTTTGCTTGAGCCCTTTGAAGCTTGGATGGTGAACCTTGAATTCTCCTTCGGGTACTTGCCGATCTCTGAAGCCATACCGTGACACTAAAGTTCCTTTCCCCATTCATCCGACTCATCCTAACAATCCAACCCCCCTTTGGGCTGCAAACACTAAACCCTAAATCCCTAAATCCCTAAACCCTAAATCCCTAAATCCCCAAACCCTAAATCCCTAAACCCCTAAACCCTAAATTGTTTCTGCAGTCTGAGGGGTGGTGAATCCAGCCTGGCATTCCTGATTTAGCACCCCCAGAGTCGTGCTGTGCCAGGTGTACCGGAAGGCCGGAAACTATGCTTGGGGAAAAGGATGGCCCGAACCTAAAGAAGCCGTGAAACAGGATTTTTTATGCCTTATGAGTCAGTTATGAATCCCTGATTATTTAGACGGGCTGTATTCTAACTCTGTGGATCTAAGAACTCAGCCCGGGCTGCAATGTAGCAGCACATTTTTTGGCAGCATCCTCAGCAACCACATCAAGTTGTAATTTTCTTGGCAAATCATAGTAAGCTCATACGAGCTCACCCTTCATTTGACTAATTATGAAGTATGAAGGGCCTTCATTCAGGATTCTGAATGATTACAGCTGTCCAGATCTTTTCGGATTGCCGGACCAACCATGCCACACCACCTAGGACTCAGCGCTTAGGCAGGGGGCTTTGGATTGGGCTTTTAGGGTTGCACTGCTAGGAAAGGAAACCCCCTGCTGCCTACAGGAGGCCCAAAGATCCGCATTTTGACCGTTTTCGGACATGTGGGGTGACCTCTGCAATGTGTTATGATTACCCAGAAGCAAGCTTTAGCTCTGCATCACCGGGAAACGTTGTTGCCTCTAATCCAGGATTATCTTGGAACATCTCAAAACTAGTCCGGTAGATCAAAGCTCAGTGTCCGGAGCCCTTGCGGATAGTGGAAAATAACATGGAAACCATTATACTGGAGAATCAAATGGAAGAGAAAATGGACAATGAAATGGAAACTGGGTGTGTACAGGGGTTGTTTGAGAGCTATCGTGATCAACATTGAAATAGAAGCACTTACCATAGCACACAAGTACATCAGCAACAGGAAGGGCACAAGGCTTCACAATGACGATGACTCCCACCCCCCAACACCCCAAATGGAGTCGCAGTTACACTGAACCAAATACCCTACGCCCCATACTCCAGTCAAATCGAGAGGCCTAACCACTAACCCTAAGCGCTGCTATGCCTCAACTTAGAACTCAATGATGCAAGGATGCCTGGGAGTTCGAGGAGCAATGATGCCTACCTCTCGAAATAGGGAGGGTAGGGATCGCAAAGGTTTACGAGGGGATCATGGGGGGGCTGCGTAGGGTTATGTGGATTACGCAGAATTATGCTTGAAGACCCTGACTTTACCCTGGCCCTCAAAGATTTTGAAGCACCCTGGTGCCCGATACATTTGGGGACTGTTGTCAAACATTTTATTGTTCACGTGCGAAACTGTCATGGTCTTGTTGTTGATGCGGTCATTTTGAGGGTAGGGTGGGCATAGGGTGCTTGCTTCGGCAAGTTGGTATTTTCCTTATGAGATCCCACAGCCGGTTCTGGTTTCATATTGAGGGTGCGGGGAGCATCAGATCTGTTTCCTGATCGGTCTTTCTTATGTATTGTGCAGGGCTTACATGGGACCGCCTAGGGAATCTTGGTCATGGCTGAATCGCAGTTTGTGATGTTTCTTGCATGGTATTATTGAGCCATGCGTCATTCATAGCGCCAGTGCGATAGTCCACTTAGAGGCTTTATAGGCGCACAATTAGTTCAAAGTTGAGAGTTTACAGCACAGCCCCAACTCCTAAGTGCAAAGCCCGAAAATCCAAACTTCAAAGGGTGTACCTCAAGCCCCGAGCCCGCATGTTAATGAGCCCGCGGCTCGTCTGGTTGTACATACCTTGAGATGAGAGCTGTAAGCTGAGGCTCAGCTTGACACAGGTTTAATTGAATGTGAACCCATCCGCAAGAATGGACCAGTCCATAGTAGCAGTCATGAGGGGTCCCTGAGAACTGCTACTTGGGACTGTTGCGGCGTATAGATGCGCAAGAACTGTTGTTATGATGACTTTGCAGCAACTTTGTAGTGCTGACTCGCACGTTTTCTATTTTGTGCGAAATGATTAGTCATTAGTCAGCGGCATCAATGCTTCAGTGATTACAAATTCCGAAGGAATCGTCATGGACCTGAGGCATGACCTGATCTGTGTACTCCGCTCTGGGCTCCAAGTCTTAAGCCCTACCTTATAGCAAGACTTTGTTTGCCGTATCTGCACTGAAGCAGTCGCGAAGCCAAGCTCTGGTCACAAACCAGTTTACAGCTTTCTGGCCGAGAAATATCTTGGCGTGTGGGTAGATGGATGTCAGGAAGATAATGATGCGGTCTGTGGGGGAATACGGAGGGGCCTGCAGCCCCCAAACATCATCACACTTGGCAGTCTGAGATGAGTTCTGGGTTCTGGGGTGCAATTGCCAGGCCTGCATCCATGAGCTTAATGTCCTTGACCATGGTCTTTGCTCATCCAGAGCAGCCACCATCGTGCGTTGAAACTCTAGTTGCAGGGTTCTGGGCTCTGCAATGTAGACTTCTCCGTGCGCAGGCCTGCATTGAAGGCTTGGTTGTTCAGGGCTGTATGGTGTCAAAATATGGAGCGCTGCTGGTGTTATGTTAGCACTTTCCTGTGGCAGCTACCCACGCCATCTCAAGTTCTGGTCGAGCTCCACTTTCCCTTTGCTGCCCAGCCGGGAACCGGAGCATGGACCAATCAGTAATCCCAGGAATCATCATTGCAATCTGCCTGCAAGTTGCAAGCCCATGCCTTCAACCATCATAAACCGCAATCCTCAATTTTTCCAATCCGTTCCCGAGATCCCGACTGAGTACCAGGGATTTTTCGCCTGGTGCCGAAAAACTTGTGCACACATCTGGCACCTTGAGGGCCTTGTTTGGTAAAAACCTGGTGCCGAAAGAGCTCCTGGTCTGGGTGGTGCGGATGTGGGGTTTTAGGGTTGATTTGGGCTTTTTCAGGTTCTTGCTTCTTAGTGCTCAGGAGGCACGGGACTAAACTAACGGGGTTCTGGAACTGAATTGGGGTGCACTTCTTGGGGATTCCTTAGGTCTCTGACGATCTTCATGTTCAAAAGGGTCCCCACTTCAATGGAGGTGCATTGCATCTGTCGGTCGATGGTTTCTTGATAGTTTAGCAGAATCCTTCAGGCTATGAGGGCCTTCAATCCTCAATTGGGCATCCGAACAAATGCCCATAAGTTGTTCGACAAAACAACCAAGCTGAACGTGCCGGGCATGTCAGGAAACTACGCCAAGAGCATTTGGTGGTGCAGTATCCTGCACTGGAGTCCCAAATCCAGTCTTGCAAGCACGCAAAGACGATGGAATGCCCCATGGCTACCACATGAAGTCGTATAGCTTACAATGTAACAACATACACCCCAAGCCCGAGTTCAAAACACAACTCAACACTAAGCCTTGATGTGAAGGCAAGTGGGTGGAGGTCAAGCCTGCCACGCCGGCTGCGATGCTTCAGGCTGGCACACTGCACAGGTTCGGAGTCTCAAGAAATGGGGTGTAGGCTTTGACCTCAAAATTCAAAGGCCCGAACCGCAAATGGTCACCCATATCTTTCGACTCTTCATGATGTACATATACTGTGGGGTTCTCCCCAAGGTTTTTCCCTGCGTAATTGTTGTTTCCTTACAGTGACCATGTGGAAAGAAACATGTTTTGCTCGATTCCAACCTTGTGGCGGTTTAAAGGGTGAGCAGAGCTAGGTTTCATGGCGTTGATGTAGGGTTTAGATAGGATGGTAGGGATTATACACGGATTTATGTGCATGTCTCGTTTTCATTCTTTCTTCCCCCTGATTTACTGGGGTAGTAGAGGGGAGACCGCTTCTGAAGATTTCTTCCAACACTTGCCAAAAGGACCTGAAGCCAGAAGCACGCAGTTTGAAATAATCAGCCAACCCAGCAGCAGATTGAACAAGGGACGCAAAGCTCCAACGCGCCTTCCTAACAACATGTGAATTCAGAAGCATGCTAGAGTCAGAGCAGTTTTTGTTCCGTTATGTGGCATGGGTACGGTCAAAGCTGCTGAAGCAGCGAGTGTTATTGTTCAGGCCAAGAACTCCTGGAAACTTTGCGAACCCACAAAATAATGTGCAGACCTATGCATAACGCATGTAGAGTGGATCAAGAGCGCATAGCTATGATGAGGAAATGGCGAATTGCCTGGAGAGGTCTTCCTCAGTCGCCTCCTCAATGCATCGGTTTGCAAGACCGGGCTATCCTCTCCCCAACTGGCATGGAACCTTGAAAAGGTCCTTTCAAGATTACTGTCCTTCCGAGAAGGGGTGGTGTTGAGTGCCATTTTGGTTTGGAGGAGTGTAAAGGGCCTTTGACAAGCACCCTTTGGACCCTGATCCCCTAAATAGCTACCATATCAGGAGCCCAACTTGCATAGCCGAGACTTTCATCTACATGTCCTGAGGATCCGCCACTCACTGCTAAGAAGTGGAACAGGCAACAAGCTTGCAAAATTGCCCTCAACAACATCGACTGGCATTCTGCTGGACTTTCATCTATGACAGCCAGTGAGCACCCCGCTCCATTCCCTGGAATGCTGGATTCCTTTTGGTAACTCTAGCCCTCAGCCAGGAGGTAATTTTTCTCCAAAGCCGTAAGCCCGGAACGTCAGACTCTGAATCTTAAATCCTGCGCCCCGCAGCACCGAATGCGAACAGGCGCAGCTGGATGCAGATCTCAGACATTGTTTAGACACTGGCAACCCGACCGGTCCTCAGAAAGAGCTTTGTTTTGAGGTTCAAGGGCGGGTTGATCTGGAAGAATTCTAGAGCAGATTTGAAGGGATATTCAGGGTGAAGGCAGCATACATCTTCCTGTAGTCTTCCGGCTCGCCTCATGCTTACAATCTCACAGCAAATCAACCGGGTTCATGGATTTGCGGAATGAATGGCAGTGAAAGCCGTATATTAAGGATGCTGGGAAGAAATGCGCTTCCAACGACGTCGTAGCAGGCACCCAAAGCTCTCCACATGTTATCTCACTTGCAGTGCAATAATGGTAGCAGTATGTATCACCTGTAGTGATACTGACAATAGAAATAGTACTAATAGGTACTAATGTTATTTATAACAATACTACTAATAATTGTGCTGGCCAGTGGAGTCAGCCTTGATCAGACCCTACACCCCAAGCTCTAGCACTGCCACCAAGAGCTCCTGGCGGGAGGCAGCATGTGACACCACAAGGCTCTCTAGGATCTTGATGGTATTCCTGAGGTATAGATGTCAAGACCACATTTTGCCTCCTTCTGCAACAGGGTAGTTTGCAATCTGAGGTGGGACGCGCGGGGCTACGAAGGCGGTGCTCCCGGACTTGTCTGCGCTGATTGGTTTGGGCAGCAGAGTCATCAAGGTAAGTCCATAAACTGGTTACTTCCATGAGAGGGTCAATGGCAACATTAGCAACAGTACGGTCGATGGAAAATATCCTACAAAGCATAGGCTGGTTGCGCTGGAAATTCCAAACTTACTTGTAGAAGTTACATTTTCACAACTACCCTCGTCATGAGCCTAGACTGTGTAGCAGGGTCAGCCTCAACTGAAGCTCTCAGGCGTCACGCCCCAAATCCTAAGCCTCAGTCCAGGGATTACAGTCTTACTCCTCGTGGCTAAAAGATGGCGACAGAGCAGTCTAAACATGGGCACCTTACGTGAGGATGGCCGCCAAAGAAAGCTTCCAAAATCTTGAACCCCTAGATCGTCCTGAGGCAAAGCAGCCTGGTCGAACAAGGGGCCTGGAGCCAAACTCTTTGCCTTCAACATGTCATTGGGTGCGGCTTTGGTTTGCGGGTTCGCCCTTTCCGGTCCCTTCCTTGGACTTTCCATGATCTTCGTACGTGTGAATGTATTGCTTTTGGGGATATAGGGCAAGCCTCATTTTGTGTGGCCTATCTGCAGCTGGGCCCATGTCACGTTGTTTCTTGATGCGGTACGGTTGATGAGTGGAAGGAAGGGATGGTTGCATTCTCTTTGAGCCCGCAGCTGCAAGCTGGATTGGACATATGCGAAGGAGAACAACAACAGGTCCTAAACCTGAAGCTACCTAAGGACTACTCTGAGACCCCGTGACTGTTGAGCCAAGGGTTTCATGACAGTTGCCTTGACAGCCTGAGCCTCCAGCCGCAGTCAAAAAGCCCCAAGTCCATCCCAGAGTGTTGAACCTATACATCGCCTTCAACCCTAAACCCTAAATCCTGAATCCCAAAGCCTCAAACCAATCAACTGTAGTCGTTCGCGTCTCAAAGCCTGAGCCCTACACCACAAACTCCAAGGGTTTTTGGGTTTGGTGCTTGTGGGTTTATGGATTAGGGTTCAGGGTTCAGGTTTTAAGGCTCAATCGCCCAAGCTCAAAAAGAATCCTCAAGTAGATAGAATCTGCTACATCTACTTGAAGGGCACCGGAGCTCTAGGACTTAACAAAGCCCAACTCCACATAAAGCCCGATCCCCAAGCCATAGGCTCCAACTCCCCTACACCCTTGAGATCCTTTATGGAGCATAACAATACACCCTAAAGTTGGGCCCCTCTACGCAGGTCTATGGAATCAAAGGCCCTTGAATCCCAACTAGCTTCTACAGATGTTCCTCCGTTCTTTCGAGGCAAAGCCTCGCCAGAAGAGGGCGACAAGCTCCTGGCAGGCCTTCTTATTCTCATTATTCTTTCTCTCCTGATCATGACTTCTGTGTATCATTACGTGACCCGTCGTATTAGGTTCTGTTTTTTGCTTTCACAAGTATTGGTGTTATTGATCTAATGCATGTTTGTGTCCAGGCAGGGTGGGTTGTTTTTCAAAACGAAAGGTATCCCTGGAAGTTTTACTTCGAGTGTGGAGCAAGCAGGGTTTCCGCATGAAACTAGGTCACTTCGAGATACTTTTCGGAGACCTTAGCCAGTTGTGCTGCATAGAGTACAGTTGTTGTGCCACATCGAGTAGCCAAAATAAAGATGCGACGTGACGGGCATAACTCCTTTGGTGATCTGCAATGTTGTCCACCCGTGGCTGGGGGCGCCTTGAAGGGTGGCATCCTGGAAAATGCATGTTAGGATCCCTTGACATGCATTTGGATTTTCGTGTGCTTGACAAAGGGCTTCAGGTTAGGCTCCACAAGTGTAAGTAGAACTCGGTAAATACACGCAGGCAAGCCCAAAATGCATTTTGAGTTCTTGGGGAATCTCGGGGCACTAGTTTGGATGCAATGGTTCGTGGTTGACATCTCACTGTTTGCAGTAGCAGTCAAGATCCTAGCAGCCTCTTGCGCTTGCATCTTGAGTTGCGGCTACTGTTTCAGTGGACGACTGCCAAACCCTGAATCCGACAGCTGAACACCTTCAGCGCCTAAAACCGGTTCAACCCTGAATCCTAAGCCTTCAATCCCGAGCCCTAACGCCCACAAAGGGACCTGGAAGTTGCCAAATACAGCATTCAATGAATGTTACCCGTTCTTGTTCAAGTGAAGCTTATGAAGCAGCAGATGGTCAGGCAGGCTCCCTTGCCTACGCTGCTGGCCTCGGGCTCAATTTGGGTAGCATGTCCGGCTGCACGTTTTCAGGATGCCAGACCAGTAAAAGAGAATCAAATGGAAAATGCCATGGAAAGTACGAATAGAGTTCGGAGGCGGGTTCATATGGAGTTTAGGGTTCAGACTTTGTGTTTTATGGCTTGGGATCCAGGGGTGGTAATTTCATTCGCCTTCTCAGGAGTAAGACAGGAGTTTAACTAATTTACTAATATTATGGTCCCAGATTCCATCTTGGTCACTTTTTACAGTACCTCAACACTGCCCCCTCCACGCCGGCACTTCCGGGTCATGTGCTTTGCTCTGCTGTGGCTTCTCATGGCAAGAACCGAGCCTTCAAAATATGTCACTTATAGGGGTTATATGGGGTATATAGAATAGGAAAAAGGAGGCATGCAAATACACACGCACATACATAAATGTAAACATATACGTGTATGTATGCTTTTTATGTATATAGCAAAGAATACAGGAGAACGGACAAGAAAACGGAAGCTACCAGGATTCAGGGATACTAGGAGGGGCGAATGGAAACGGACATCGCAGGGGCTTCGAGGAATAGTTAGCAATATTAATTCTACCAATGCTGGAGAGTCATATGGAAAATGAAGCTGAAAATGAATCGAGTTTAGAAAAATAGTCCGTCCTCGACAGCTTGGTATTGAAATTGACCTTCTGATGCGAAAGATCCTGTGCATTTGGAAAAATCTCTGCCCCAGATACGATTGTGCAGATGGTGCTTGACATAAGGGAATTCCCGGGTGCTGGGAAGCCAAGCCAAAGCTTCATCGTGCCAGCTAGAATGTCATGGGCTTCACCGAGTCAACACACATTTGTGCTCCTCATCTAGATTCCTAGACTTTGTCAGAAAGCCCGAATGTCCCAGAAGATTGTCTGAGTCATCCTCTATGCAACTGTGACACTGTACCTCCCTGCAGTCCTCAATAGCTTAACCCTAAACACTTGATCAACGGCAATGTAGAAGCCTGAAGAAAGCAGTACTTGGGAACCCCTCACCAAATTCGAGCAGAGCTGAGGGAAGCACCACCGGCCGGGGCCTCCGAAGCAGGATGACGGGCTGTAGAAGACGTAGCAAAAAGGTCTCAACGTTGATCCTTGATTTGTGGTTGCGGCCTTGGTTTGGGAAATTGGCGCGCTGCTCATGATGTTTCGTGTTTTGTTGGGTGTAGTTTTGAGAGGTCGGGTGAGTCGGTGGAGGTTTGTGCCGAAACCAGGTGTCAATTCAAGTCTTCAGCTACATTCCAAGCGAATATTCAAGCGTTGGAGCTACCAGGTTGTACTGGTACAGTCAGAGGACTTAGGGGCTTGCGGGATTCAGTGTGGAGCGTCGAAAGCTGCAATTTTTGAAGCGGAGTTGTGAGTACCGGATGCAGAGTCATCTCGCAGATCTAATCTGGAGGTGCGTTGCTCCGTTGCGATGTTCTGCTGTTGCGTATCGCACAGTTCCCTGTCCTAGCCCTTCAGCATCTGCTAGTTAGTCTGAGGCTCCCGTGCAGCTGCTGCCAAGCAACAAGCAGTTGGGTGCTCAGGCGATGTAGGTGCAGACTGGTCCGTTAAGAGCTACCCTCAAGATGAAGCAGAGGTCCGGCAAACTGCATTCTTGCTATGGCAAAGTAGAGTGCCATGTTTTTGGAAACCAGCTTGTACACACACACACACAATCGCTTGCTTAACCGCGGTCCTGGAAAGAAACTGCAAGCTTACTAGTGTGAACTAGCTTTGGGGGCTGCAAGCTTTACTGCACAGCCCACACATATCCTGGGTTCCTTAGCTGCTTTTTTTCGCACCCTGGAATCCCGAAGCGCCCCAATACTCATCCTCAGAATCGGCGGCCTCGTTTCAATCATGAAGTTTTGGGTAGCTAGTAGGGAATTGATGAATGGATCCCCATAGTAGTCCATACATAATCCCCCATAGAATCCATGAATCCATGCCAGTTTCCATTTAGTATCTTTTTGGTTCTTGTTTCCCTAAGCCTACAGTGTTTTTTCAAATTATCTTCCATCTTTCTTCTTTGTCTGATTTTCATTTATATTTAAACCCTAGACATAATGGCAGCTTCCATTTTCTGTTTCATCCCCGCTATATTCCAAAACATCGGTAGATATGTAAAAACAAGCCGATTTTCCATTTGATTTTCAAATTGTCGAGACAATATTCCTAAACACTAAACGCTGTATAGCTCCCAGTTTCCATTTCATTTTCATTGCTTTTCCATTTGATTCTCCAATGTTGGGCTAGCAACCCTACACCCTTAGTGTAGCTTTCATTTTCTGTTCCGTTCCCCCTATGCAACCCTATATACCCTTATCTATTCCTCATGTAACTATATAAGTTAGCCAGGCCCTAAACCCTGAACCCTATATCCCAAACCATAAGCCCTAAACTATTTTTAGCCAAGCGTTCCATCCAGGCTCAGCCCTGTTGGCCACCAGCTGCAGGTCCGAACTCTGGTCTTAGAGGTTTATGGCGGGTGTATTAGATTGCAGGAGTTGCTCTTGAGGGATTCGGCGAGGAAGGCCTGCAATATCCGAGATCTCTCATAGTTTTGGCAGGTTATTTGCTGATTTTAACACTTTAGTTTGACACACATATACAGCCAGTCATCATGCGGCCCACAGGTGGCGGATTGCATAGGCTTAAATTGGGATTTGATGCCTTGAGAGTACGGGTTCATGGAATAATTAGAAAGTGGGCTGTTGGATTTTCAGGTTTGGGGTTTATTAATGAAGTGTCTAGGCTTTGAAGTTCAGGAGCCTCAGGGTGTAAATGCAGGATTCGGCAGGAAATTTTGATTTCTGCTTTGGGGTTGCTATCGTGCATTGCATGGAATGTTGCCAGGAGCTCGAAGGAACAGTCAGAACATGTCTCCATGCTTTCGGGATCCTTTGTTTGGATCAGCCTGTGTGGGAATAAAGCTGAAGCAAGATCATGTTGTCCTGCCAGTTGCTACATCGTCCAAGCAAGACATATCAAGTGTGCGCTGCTTTCTGGTTCGCGGTGATAAGGTTGATTGTTCAGAGCAGGAGAGGTGTATGGTGGTTCATCGGAGTCCAAAAGATGAGGCGGTTTCGCAGGTGTTCATAGAGCTTTATAGAGTGTCATGGGGCGTCGCAAAGTTGCAAACAGATCTCGTAGAATTCCATGCAGCTTTGTAGGGATGTTGTCTGATGCAAAGGGGCTGCAGTGACAAAGTTTCAAAATATGTCAGGCAATTTAGGCCGCGAACCCTTCCGGTGCCAGCCATGTATCAGTAGATGGAGCCCAGCGATTAGGATGCCCGCGAAAAGTAGAACTTTGAGTGGTGGAGCTTGCAGTTTAGGTATAGCATGGAGTTGCCGTTCAAGAGAGGAACATGGCTTAAATTCAAAAAGCACCAGCCAATGAAAATGGTTAAAAGCCTTCAACAGTAAATCTGAAACTAGGTGCAAGGATTCCTTGAATCTTCTGGAGTTTTGTGTTTTGCTTGCTCAGCGTTTTTCAACGCAGGCCACTTTCCTGGTGATCCGCGTGCAATGCAAGGACCGCGCAAAACGGTTACCCTGGGGCACCCCTGAAATGCTGTAACTGCAGGATGGGGTTTGAGAATGAGATGGGATGGAGTTCGTTTGCAGTGGTCCAACGGTCAGGTTTTTGGGGTCAGGGTCAGAAGCGCCTTTCCCAAGACGATAAATCCTGACAAGGGAACAGCTCCTAGCATTTTGCACTAGGCTTATTACGGTCTCTAGAATTTCTCAAAAAACGGCTAGATGCCTCTTGCAGCTTCGCTGTAAGCATTCCTTTGCTCTCGCAAAGACATGGTTTCGTCCTTCGTCTGCTGCAATTGAGGGAATTCAGGCTTGTTGTAATAGGGGCTACGGGGAAGCGCTTATAACCGAGAGATTCCAAGGGACAATGAGCAAACCTCATGGGCCTTGCAGAAGGTTCTGGTTTGGCGTGACATGCACCATAATTGTGCACTTTGTTGGTTCTTGCTGAGGGGTTCCGTTCATTCTTTAGTTTTGTTCAGTGTTGTCAGGGTCCATTCGCCCTATGGCGATGATAGTAGGAAAGCATCTTCAGCAATCCCGCTCTTCATCTTCGGTTCCCGAAGCGTTCCTACATGCTAGGCTCCAACTTTTGTTCAACACTCACAGGCATCAGCGACCAGTATGAGAGTTTCCATGGGTTTGGGCTCCCTTTCTAGGATCCTTGTGGCATGGCAACAATGGACCTCAGCATTCACCAAGTTCTTGGAAAGCATCTCGAAGCCCTGTGCAGAGCCAACCACGGAACCACTCAACTTTCGCCTTGGGGCTCAGTAAGGAATAGGGGAAACATTACTTTAAGGGGCTGCGCCCATGGGCGGGCAACGCAGGCAGCATATT